AATAGACCCTTCCAAAATAGGCCAAGTAAAGCTTTTCACAGCCTTGGACTTTCCTCACATGTGGCAGACATGCACTCCCCAAAAAAACAGCCAAAGGAAACCCTCATCCTTGTCATTAATGCACTCATTTGGATGCTGATTTGGGAAGGCAGTAGGAAGCTTCTTTGTTATTGTTTTCTTCTTCATTATTAATGTATTCTTTCCCCTTTGTAGTGTGCATATATAGCTCGGCCTTATGGCCATTGTAAGCAGCATATTTTAATTCAAAAACCTTGTTTACTCTTTTGAGTATTCTCTTAAAATAGTGTGATGCTATTTTAGCCAAATTCCTAATTCTATATCTTAAGAGTGGTTCTCTTAAGTGTGAGTTTTAGGTTCTAGATATTTAATTAAGTGTGTCATATCTTGATTGAATTCTAGATTCAAACCCCAAGTTAAGATAAGAGTGTGTTATATCTCTTAACACCAACTTGGTTTATCCCTTCACTTTACCTCTGCCAATTTCATTTCTCACCATTTCTTCTTCTTGAACTTATTCTTTTCTTTCATCAAAAACCCAAAAAAACAACTCTTTGTTCCACCCCCATATTTCGTCCCCCTCATTTCCTCTTCACCATTCCATAATTCCATCTTCAAATAGCAACTTGATTATACCCCGGGTCTCGGGTATAACACTATGTTTTGAAATTTATTTAAATATCAATTTAAAATGGATTAAACATGAGTAATCATATTTAGAGAACAAAAATTCTAATTATACTAAGGAGCTACCGAGCTACTTCTATCATATTACATAAAATGAAGGTATTATGAACCCATTCATGAGAATAAAGTATCAAAACCAAATGGGTCAGCTAGATGCCTTGGGCTTAGTGTGTTTCCATTTTAAAAAAAATAGGTCATACATTAATTCAACTTGCCTAAGTTATGTTTTTGTACTCTTTTAATCATGACTATTGCTTTTCAGAAGTCGAATTATATTAGGATTCCCTCTTATTTATACTCACACAAATAATACATGGTAATACTTATGATATGTCAAGTGTCAACACAAATCAATTCTTCAATTGTCACAACCATTTGAACCATAAGGACACCATGTGCAACCAAGGACAACTAGTGGCAATGGAGTTGTCCTACCTTTTAATATGATCCATGTCACCGTGTGTTATTTCAATTATCTCCATTTCATTTAAATTCCCAAATCTAGATCAAACTTCTTTCCTAGTGAGTCATGAGTAGGAACGGAGCCCTAATTGCTTTGAAGTGAGAGATAATACTCTGTATTTTTTCTCTAAGGTAGAAATCATATTTGCTTGCTCTCGATCTTAGATGTACTCTCATTTTCACAACCTTCAATTGTCGATTTGTGAAAAGAAATTAAATTTGATTGATTGTACTAAAACTGTTTCATTGATATCATGAAAGAAGATTCAAAAAGAAAAAGAGGATTCGATGATTATTTTGGTTCAAATGCTCATGAAGAAAGAATGGAAGTTGGTAGGACTTTGTAAATTTATTTTTGGGACAAGATAAAAACAAAAATTGTTCTCAAGAAAGAATCCGATATGATTTTGTTCTTTGTGATTCTTTTGGGATAAGGTTTGTGAAAGAAGAAGACCACTACAATTTTGTCTTTTTGTGCATTTCGTGAAGAATGACTGATTTTTCTTATTTTAAAAGGACAACTCAATATTTTTATTATTAAAAGTTTATTTTCTCATCCACATAAGCAATAACTAATCGGAATTAGACCCTTGGTGGAACACAGAGTGACCATGTAAAACAATCTAATTTCTTGAGGTACTGATGTGATTATCAAATTTGGGAGTATTATTGTAAAATGCCATATTTTTAGGAGTAATCACATGAATTTTCCTTATTTTTATCATTATTAATATTTTTTTATTCCTAGTACTACAACTAGTATTATTATTATTATTATTATTATTATTATTATTACTATTCTATTATTTGGTTTTGGAGTAAAGTGGAAAAAAGCAAAATGGTTCTTAAACTATATGTGCATATTTTGATAGTGGAGTAATAGTTAGTCAATTCAAATTTCGATGTTGATCATGGGTCATCTAGAAACAATCACTCTATGTTTCAACATATGGGACAGCTGCGTACATCCAATCCCCCCTTACCCCACAATGGGCGAGAGAGCCTTTGAGGCACTCGGGTAATGTTGTTGTATTACTATTCTATTATTATTATTATTATTATTATTCTTTAGAAATCTAAGAAATAGTTTCACATCTGATCCCCCCTTACTATTCTATTGCTAACTAGTCCTTATATCGGTACTATTGGTAGTAATAATTTCTATTAATATTAGTATTCTAACTTAGTTAATATTCCTAAAAGCAATATTGTAATGTGTAATAGATTGGGACTCGATTGAATAACTCACCAAGACTCTTGGGAGTAGCATAAATTGAGGTGTTATATTCATTAATAAAATCATCAATGGTTGAAGTCAAATCTTTAATTATGAGAAGCTAGTCATGGATTGCTTGCCCCTACAAACGGGGAAAGATCAATATTATTTTTTCCTTTACATTTTTTCTTACGTTTGTGAATGAAGCTACTAAATAAGTAATTGAAATCAAGACATAAAACTATGATAATTACTTATCCAAGAGCCCTAATGGGGTCGAGTTTCCCCCTTGCGTCTTCTATGCACGAACGCTTAACCAAGGTAAGCATCACGCGTTGTGTTTAGTGATTTGGAGAAGGCTTATGAGTGTAGTGTTAGAAGGGTATCATTTTGAAGAGCGGTCAAGGTACGATTGAGCCAAGACCATATATGGTGAGGAGGAGAGAGGAAGGAAATTCACATCAATTCCCAATGAAGCGGGATACATCATGTCATTGCGCTTGGCCATTTTTTTCTTTGGTGATGAATAAACTAACTCAACATATCACGGGGGAAGTACCATAGTATGTGTTACTTGTTGACGATATTTTATGAATTGACGAGACAGGTGAGGATAAATAATATATTAGATGTGGGGACTAGGAAGGCACAAGCACTCTAAAGATTTGAGACTCTGTAGGAATTTAGGACTAAGATGGAGTACATTAGTTGTAATTATTAATGTCAATGGCTTGCCACCTAATTCGAAGGTTGAGGTGAAGATTGATATACCTATTGGCAAGATGGATAGTTTTGAGGACTTCGGATTTATGATTCGGGTTGATGAAGAGATTCATGGGGATTTCCCTAGTTATACAAAAAGGGCTACATGAACTAGAGGCCCACTTCTAATGAACTTGGCAACGATATTGTTCTAACCAAACTTAGAGGCAAGATTATTGAGCCGTGGTTTAGCTCCACAAAAATCGTTTGGACCTTTTCTTGACTTGAGACTCGACTCAAAAATATTGGGTTTTGAATAATAAATCTAAAACAAACCAGAAATGATAGTCAAAATGGGTAAAACTTGATTGAACATGACCCAACGTGCCGGCTAAGGTAAGCTCTTTTCAAAGCATGTACTTCAGTACGAAATATAAAGTGATAAATATCATGTTATTAGATTATTTTGTTTCTTTTTACTTCATTTTATAAGATAGACTTATCTTTTCTAACAAGCTTGTGATGATATAGTATTGTCATTTTGCTTCTTTAAAAATTTGAATATATTGAAGAACTTTATTTAATTTATAATAATTTGTTTTATATCTAAAATTTAATGAGTATTTCAAAAGAGAATATTATTATAGCTTCAATTAGTACAAGGTATCACTTAACATGCAAACATGTTGATGAAGGCAGCAACTACTGACTTGTGATAGCACATTACGAGATACAACGCCCTTGTGGATTTAAGAAAAATGAATATATCATTAGTGTCATTAACACTCCGCCAATATTCAAAATGCATAAAGTTGAACGAATCATAACATATCACTTGGTTATGTATTTTTGAAAAAAAGCAAAAAAGGTAAACCTGCGTGATCATGCAATAGACCTAAAAGCCAATTCAGAAGCAGTATAAGGGGAGTTAACTTACAATTTTGATGGCGACAATCTCGAACGTATCGATATGTGTGGCTGGAAAATAGACCAAACCAACAACAAAAGCCAAATTCAGCACAAAGTTAAAATTAATAAGGAAAAAATAAAAACGATAATCAGTTACCAAGGTAAATTTCTCCAAACGACCCACTTCCAATCTTACGTCCGAGTTTGAATTTTCCTCCGACGATCCTCTCCATGCTTCAGATCGACGGATCAAAAAGATGCTTGCTCAGATCAGGCAAAAGGAAAAAAAGGAGAGGGGTTTAGGTTCCGAGAGACCGAATCCGAGCTTTCCGGTAGACGAAGAGAAAATACAACCCGCCCGAAAGGCCGAAAGAAAAAAATCAGATTGGGAAAGTAGAACCCGACGAGAGATAACAGAAGCGTAACTCAGAGGTGTGAGTTGTACGGAGTACATGAAGGACAGAAAGAACATATCGTCAGCCGTTCCAAGAGACCAACATAAGGTTACGTTTGGTAACCAGATATTCATTTATGCTGATTTTCGAGAATATATATTTCAAATTTAATATATCCACATATCACAAATCCTTTAAAATCTATGGAATTGATTTAAAGAATTAAAATGAATTACAATTAAATTTTATCTAATTGAACTGAATGAAATTAAATTCTAATTCCATTCTAAAACATTTGATTGGTATAACTAATGAATTGATAGAGAATTACATTATAATTCCAATTTCTTTCTTTGTTAACACAAAATTATATATATATATATATATATATATCATTTATATATATAATTGTTATAAAAATGTATTTTCAATTGTTGACCATGGATTTTTTGTGTCAGTTGTTCTAAATGACTAATGAATCTACCTATTTTAATCGGCAGGATGCGTTAGCAAAATTTTTAGTTCTTAGTTTTTTATTTTAAATTTTTAATTTCTGTGTTTCAATTTTCATATTTTTTATTTTTAACTTTTAATATTTAATTCTGAATTTTTATTTCAGAATTTATAACTTTAATTTTGAATTTTTATATAAAATTTTAATTTAAATTTGAAAATTCTGAATTTAAAATTTAAACTTAAAATATTTAATTTTGAATTCATAATTTTTAATTTAATGTTTTAAATTTTAAATTCAAAACATCAAATTTTTAAATATTTATCTTTTAAATTAAAATTTTAGTTTTTTATTTTTATTATGGCTTTTGATCTTTAAATTTTTAATTAATAATTTTTAGTTCTTAATTAAAAATGTATATTTCAAATTTCTAAGTTTAAACTTTAAATTTTTAGTATTTTCAATATACATACTATGAAATTTAGATTAAATATCGAAATTTATAAAGTTTAATTTAAAAATTTAATATTTTAAAATTTTAAAACTTAATTTTTTCATTTTTAAATTCTAATTTTAGATTTTAACTTTTAAATATTAAATTTATACTTTTTTATTTTTAATTTTTAATTTGAATTAAAATAAAAGTTTTATATTTTAAAATTTTAAATATATAAGTACAAATTTTATATTTTAAATTTTAAATATATACTGTAACACCCTAATCCGTCCAGCTTTGCGGCCCCTTTCGGACTAAAGTATTAACTTGGTAATCGTAAAAATTTAAAACATTTCAAACACTTTTATTTATCATAATAATATTTTTCATAATATAAACAATACGGAGTTTTCAATATTGCGCAACCTTTACCAAATCATAATTACAACATAATTTATTATGTTCTTTAATTCAAAACCATCACATCCATTCCGACAATCTCAGCTCCGTCTGCCTCCAGGATCACGTCACTTCATCTTTTCTATTAACCTGCGTGTAGCAAATAAAACACATTACACGCTCAGCGTTGAAGCTGAGTAAGCATATCTAATGCGTCGAACATCCATATAAACTAAATCTAAATTCATAATCAAATCATTTGATATCATGCACATAATGTTCAGTTTAGATATTTAATAATCAGTAGTCAGTATTCATCATTCATTATTCAACATTTATATTCATATTCGACATTCATCGGTTATTCATAATATTCAAAATATTCAATTCGATAATCATCATTCAATATTCATTCATATTCAATGGTCATCTGTCATTCATAATAATCAAAATATTCAATTCAATAATTATTATTCAATATTCATTCATATTCAACATTCGACAATATCCTTAAACTATTCTTAGTCTAAGGCCAATCACTTTAATGTTTATCAACCCTTAAATGAATTCTAGTTTAAATAATTAAACTATATTCCAGTATAAAGTACTCCTAAATAATCCTTAAGCTAGGCCTAGTTTAAGATAAAAGGATTTTGAAAATCTTAAACTTACCTTCACTTAAGGTCAACTAAAACCGGCAGTGTTGTGTTCACTGTTGGGTGGGTGGTACCCCCAAACGAGTAGGTACTCAAGTTTGGTTCTTGGATCCCATACGTACATTTTAACCCTAGCCACCGGGGTTCATACCCGCAAGGCCTAACTTAAATAGGTATATCTTAGAGGTCTTCTAGATACCTTTCAAATCAACATTAATATGGGTATATCTTAGAGGTCTTCTAGATACCCTTAATAATATATTATTTTCACACTCATCAATATATTCATTATGATTTAATCATTCACAATTATCATTCTTAATCAGAATATTTATTAAGATTTAATCATCATAATCATCAATCAATATTCATTACCATAATCATCAATGAACATAATATTCAATAACAAATAGCAACCTAGCTTCGGGTGTTAACACCCGAACTTACCGTCATGCATCACATAACATTTTATTTGTTAAAAATATTACTTTTAATGTGAAAAATCATTTTTATAATGATCATAATCAATTGGTATCAAAAATAGGATTTTAGAGCTCAAAAATAACATTTTCAGACAAATTTTCGGATCAGAAATTCGGGGGATCGATCCAGCCCTCTGGATTGATCCACACTAGAAGAAAAACTCCCAGAGGATCGATCCAGGCAAGATGATCGATCCAGACAATGGTTTTTCAGCCACTGTTCATCTTCTTCAACCTTCGGTCCATTTTTCAGAAATTCCACTTTTAGTCACCGAACTTCAACGAAACTATATAGCGATGTTCTCTAAGGTTCATAGATCATTTTGGTATCATTAATTCATGGTTTTAACATCAATTTCATGGTTTATGATTCTTGGTTTTTCAAGCATGTCAAACACGAAACTCAACCAAACGACTGTTTATGAACGTAGAAACGATCTATACGAACATTCTAGTCATTAGATATATCTACGGGCTTACCTCGAAGGTAAATGAAGGTTTTGGAAATTTTCTGGCGAAACTTCCGGCAAGGATTGTGGCTATATCCGGCGACCTCACACCAATATGACAGCACCACTGCATTCTCCTCACTCCCAACAACAGAATAGACAGAAAGTTTGTAAGAAATGGTGAGGAATTGAAGGAATGGAGATGACCGTTATATAGCCAAGGAGGACGAAGACACGGTGATGAGCTCTCCTTCGACTATTTCGGCGGCTGGATGGAGCGGGCTGCGATTTCTTCCCATTTCAAACGCAAGTCCCTGATTGGGACTAATTTGGTCCCAGTCGGGGAACACTTTTTGGTCCAACTTTCTCCGAAATGAAATCCGTTAGCACCGTTGCGATTGTACAATTAAACTTTATCCAACGATATAATTTTTATATTTATTCGTTGTACTTTTTCCGACATCATATTTTTAGGTGGTTGACTTTGACAGAGTCCAAATTGATTTTGTTGACCTTTACTCAGAAAGGTTTTTACATTTCATTCATATTATTTATTCTCATGATTTATTTCAATAAATCATTTCAAAGTTTACATCACAAACAAATTTCTTCATTTATTCTTGATTTGGGTCTGTACTCAGGTTCTCAATCAAGGTCACACAGTAAATCAACATATTGGATTTATCTCTATGAGACTTATCCAGATTTTGATATTGAATATTAAAACATATTTCATTTCGGCCCAAAGCCCAATAACAATTATTATTATTATTATTAATCAAAATAATTTGATTACTTGAATAATTATTCATTAATAATTCTAGGGTATATTTTGGGGCATTACATACACTCTGTAAATATTATATTTAAAATTTAATATTTTAAATTTTAAATCCGAAATTTTAAATTCTATATTTAGATCAATTATATTGTATGGAAGAGAGTGATGGGCAGCAAAGGGTGAACATGAACACAAGGTTAGTGTGACGCAAATGAAGATGCTTTGTTGGATGAGCGGTCATACGTGTATAGATAGAATATGGAATAATGATATGAGAGATAAGGTTGGAGTGGCACCTATTGTAGGAAAAATGATGGAAACTCATCTTAGGTGGTTTGAAAATGTGAAGAGAAGACCAATACAGCATCCCGTTGGAAGAGTTGATCAGATGGTGAATATGCATGTGGCTAGAGGAAGAGGTAGTCCTAAGCGGACTTGGCAAGCATTGATCAAGGGAGATCTTCGTGTGAACAATCTCACAGCAAATATGATACACGATAGGGCGCAATGGCGTCATTTGATCTATGTTGCCGACCCCACCTAGTGGGATAAGGCTTTGTTGTTGTTGTATACGTTTATGTCTTTGGAGTGGTGGTAAGATTAAGGAATTTTATGAATGAAATTTCTTTGAAGGAGAGAGAATTGTAACATCCTTAATGCCAGATTAGTAGCTAGCTATTATTTTAATAAAAATAAATATAATATTTTCTCGCTTGAAAATATGAACTATTTATAAAATCAACCTTTTTATTTAATGATTAGGTAGTTGGGTAGATCTCGGAAAAAAGTGACCAACAGTATATAGTTGGTAAAGTGTGGACTTTGGTGTAGAAGTTATGAGTAAAATAGATGTTACAGTTCAATAAATAAATATAAAGATATTATACTATAATAATAATAAATAAAATTAAAACCTAAATTCTTAAACCAAGTACTACCCAAAATAGGAAAACCAAACCCCCACCCCCACCCCTATGTATAAACGTATACGCTCGCACACAAGAAGCAAAAAAAATAGAGAACGGAATGGAGGTTGAGAAAGCACAAAAAAGGGCTGCCGCCTCCATTAATCACCGCCAATTGACGACGCCGCTAGTTTGCCGCCGTCGTTTGCGCCGCTGCTCTGCCGTGTTCTTCGTGGATTCAACCGCTGATTTATTTTGATTAATTTGTCTAATAATCGAGGTGATTTCGTGGGTTTGTTCTAGTGTAGAATTCTTAGATGTCGTTAACTCATATACATAACTAATTGTAGATTCGTTTATGTGATTTATTTGATTATGATTGTTGGTTATGATTTATTTAAAATATAAAATTATTGAAATTGATTGGTGGATTGATGAAGGACCAGGTATATTTCACTACTCTAATTTATGTGGATTATGTGTTAATAGCCTCTATAAGGATATAAATTGATAACTG